GGTTTCGCTTAACGGGCTTCCGTGTCTAGTAGCAGTGGATCACCAATACCTCCAGGAAGGAACTTAGGTTTATTAACGATAATATAGGAAACAAAAGAAATTGGAAAATCATAATAAGATGTTATCTTTAGTCCTTAAGAATAGATCAAGTTCCTTCGTGAAGGACTCCTGGGAAGTCGCTTGGACTAGTTCAGTCAGCAGTGAATTCCAGCAACTGACAACTCTTAAGCAGTATAAGTTGTGTCTACAGTCCGTTCTGCTATGTTTTATCTCCAATTTCTGGGTGCTACCCCTTAGGTTTGTATTGGGATTAAGCTTAAGTATATGTTTAAAGGGATGTCTAGAAGTGTTAAGGATACTGTAAGCCATTAGGTCACCTCTAAGACGCCTATACTCTAGTGGGTAAAGGTTAAGTGATCAAAGGCACTCTTCATAAGGTTTGAATTTCAGTCCCAAAACTGATTTCGTGGCTCGCCGTTGGATACGCTCCAGAGTGTCCTTATCCTTTTAGAGTTAGGTAGGAAATATTGTGTTTCCGTACCCTAAATGGGGAGGAATAAAACTGTTGAAGATTACGTGGAAAGTTCTTCCGTCAAACTGGTCAAAAATGCGCTTCAGTGTTACCAGTGCACGGTTTGCTATAAAGGCATTGTTGTCACAACGTAGGACTTCAACTAGTAGGGTATCAGGACTCCTAAATCTTTTTCGACTCGGGATACCACTAGAGAGGAGTTTCTTATGTTGTAACTGTAGTCTGCGACATCTCGCAGATGGACTGCTCTGTACGCTGAAGTTTTAAAGGTAAGTCCGTTATCGTCAGCTCAACTTTGAAGTTGAATCAGATCCTCCTAAAGTGCCTGTATATCCTCTTGGTTGGGTATCTCTCTCTCCAAAGTTTCACGTCACCAGCAAAAAGTAATGTCAGACGATACATGTTGTGGAAGATCATTTGTATAAATCAAGAAGAGAAGAGGTCGTAGTACTGAGTCCTGGGGGACCCCACTAGGACATTGCATAGCCTGAGATAATGTGAAATTAACCCTGACCTTAAAATGTCGATTTTTCAGGTATGAAGTGAGCCAATCGATTAGAGGTGGTCTGATGCCCAATCGTTTGAGCTTATTGATAAGACATGTATGGTTAACCTTACCAAAAGCTTTCCAGAAATCTAGGTAGATGATATCAACCTTCCCCTTGTGACCAAAGATGCTTGTCCATCTGTCCACCGCCGTCAGCAGGTTGGTAACACAAGAGTAACCCTTCCTTAAACCATGCTGTTGGGGTGAGAAGAAATTTAAGGACAGTAAATAGTCATTTATACCATCGCATATCAGGGACTCCATGATTTTTGAAGGTATTGAGAGACGAGCCACCGGTCGGTAACTTGAAGGTTCGCTGTGTCGACCTCCTTTGAAAATTGGTGTGATGTGAGCCAGCCTCCAATTTTCCGGTAGTTTTTCTCGACTTAGCGTGTGTGAGAACATCACGCTAAGCGGCGTTACCAGGGTTGAGGCTGCTTCCCTCAGTATGACTGAATGGACCATGTCCGGGCCAGGAGAAGTGTCTAGTCATACGTGCTGCGGTTTCCGGAACACCAAGTCAGCGCTTAGGTTCACTTCAGAAAGTCCTGTTGAATCGCAGATGAAACTACCATCAGTAAAATTGATGTCGGTCGGTTGAAATGTCTGGGAGTATTGTTCAGCCAGAAGGTTAGCGGCGTCACCAACGTTGTTGGTCGAGCCGTTAAGACCTAGTAGTTGGGAAACTCCAGTTTTGGCTTGACGAAGAGAAGCTGCATAACGGAATAAGCTTTTAGGATTAGAGGCAAACTTTTCCATAAGCTTTGTCTGGCACTGAAGCCTATCTTCTCTTATAGCCTTCGTGCATATGCTCCTGATATGTTTATATCACTTGTGCGCTCCATCGTTGTCAGTTCGTTTGTATTCCGCCCAACAGTGCCTTTTGCGGCTTAGCAGGCGAAGGTTACGGTTCTTGATTACTGTAGGTGGCTTGCAGCTTTCAGGAATCGTTTGAGGAACTGAATGGTTTGTGGAACGTAAGAGGGTGTGCAGTAAAAAGTCCCAATGCCCGTCCATATCGAGTTGGGGGTGAACATCCCAAACCACCTGTTGTAGATAGTCGTGTAGAGCTGGCACATTTAACCGTTTAAAATTCCAACGCAAATCATTGTTGGGATACCTTAGCTTAGTTTTGATGACAAAACTGAAGGCTATGACGGCATGATCGCTTTTTCCCAGGGGAGCCAGGATTGAAGGTTGTCAACTAGAAATTCTTCGTTTGTGAATACACAGTCTAAGCGCGATGGTGTCTGACTGTTTCTCCAACGAGTTGCCGACCTCACATTTTCGTATAATCCCAAGTCATCGATGAGGTTGAAGAACCGAGCTTCAGTTGAGTTGTCGCCTCCAGTATACGTGTGTTCTGCGAAGTTGACTCTAGGGAGATTAAAGTCCCCTAGAATCAGGATGTGTGTGAGACCGAGACGAGTAGAGCGGGATAGTCCTTCCAGCATACGACTATCGTACTCGATGTCGTGAGTTGGCTTCCTGTAAATGACTCCGATTAGACACCTCGAAGTACTGGACAATCTTACAGAGCACCATATGGATTCCTCAAGATTGTTAAACTCGAGGTTATGAACTTGGTGCACCTCCAAGCAAGAACGTATGTAAACGGCTGCTCCACCCCCAATTCCTAATTTTCTATCGTTGCGGAAAAATGACATCCCAGGTAATGCTAACTCATGGTCCGAAAACTGAGAAGATATCCAGGTTTCAGATATTCCTATCAGATGGGCCTTGTTAGCGTTGCTAAGTTCACGTAATTCGTCCAATTTGTTTGGTAGACACGCGGCGTTCATATATAAGCAGTTTATGCTTTCAATTTCGAACGCGTGAGCCTCGTCCTGTTTGTCTGTATGAGCCTTACGTGAACGGACAAGTAGCCCACCTATACGAGGTTTGCCGTGGTGGTAGGCCCTGTCCTTTACACGTTTTTTTATCATCTAGACAGTCCACAAGTGGAATGGTCAGCTCCAACTTGCCTTTGTGTTTGGTCCTAGATTCGTATGGCCTATCCGGGTGCATGTGGATTCCGGCTTGGAAGGATCACCATCCTTCTTGGTTAGTCTCGTCACACGCTGAGTCAGTATATTTTTGAGCCTCAAGGACTGTCTGATGAATTCCCATCCCCTGATTTCAGTATTTGATTGATTAGGGTCCGTATTTTCCGGTATACCTTGCACGATTATATTCCTCGCGCGGAAAAACTGATCGCGATATTCTATAGGGATGTTCCGGATGAGATTGTCCATTAACTCTTGTCGACGTTGCTCATGATGACGTATAAGATCTTGATGTTCAATTTGAACATCACCTAAAGCTATTCGTTCTTCTTCTAAGCACAATCGTGATCTGTAATGTACAAAAAAGTCAAAACACGTGCTAAACAACTTATGTTTATTTGACAAAGGACATAGCCTTTTGTAACGGTTTGATCTTGCCTGTAAACTGGCATGCCTCATGTAACAAATTGTTATTTGACAATAAATTATTATTGTGATTTTCGTAGAATTAATTAGATCAAACTCTTTGTACGCCGTTACTTTTGAATGTCTATTTTCCCAATTTTCTCGTGTTCAGCTTTGAGGATTGTGTTAGTAAGGCGCATTACATCGCCATTACAGTTATTCAATTAGGATAACCGTTGTGTGCACGACACGTTTGTGGAATTATTGAGATACTTGAGCAGAGTTATGAAACGATTCCTGCTCTTTTAACTAAGATCAGTAGACATTAGTCTATCTTTGATTATCAAATTACATGACATCCTCACCACATGACCGGAAGCTGCCAAACTGAAAGTGCATGTGTCTGATCCATTCATGATGAAACGCTGCATGAATTAAGGTCGGGACGACTAATGAGGCTTGCGTTCTTTTGCCCAGTCATTTGTATTATGACTGAGCTAAACAAATTTTGTACGACCTATTTGGTGAAAAAAATCTTGTTGCTCTCGGACTAATCACTGAGTTACTCAATCAGAAATACGTTGAAGGATCGGCAGATAACTAGACTGATTTTGTGATTAGACTACGTAATTTATGTATAACATTGAAGGAAATGGGATGTATGTCCGGTGTATATTCTACGGTCAATCTTTAAATAATAGTGTCATGTCCACCACCAGATTTACAGAATGAGTGGATGTACATCACCGACAAGTAGCCGAGTTTCGAGGAATTGGTGGTCATTGCGGAAGAAAGAGCCAGGATTGCTCGGAAATGCTATGGCAGTTTGGTACAATGTAATTCAAGTTCGGTAAAAGAAGTTATGGAGGCTGTAGAATTATGGTCTACTATGATATTAGTACTGCTCTTATAATAGACCTAATCCTTAATTTGTAGATTTGTCATGATATATATATCATCTTATAGATTAGGCAGTTATAACTGCCTAATCTATAAGATCTTACGTGGAAGTCACACCATTGACTACACCAACTCACTGTACCGTATCAATTACCGATACATGATGTAGAACAAGGTTAGGCTAGGGAAGGAACAATAAATTTAATATGAATAGAAGATATAAGGTAACATTCAGCAGAGACCACGCCTGCATGGTCGAGCCATGCCATCCGATGAACTCCAATTCATTCAATTATCTGTTCCCGCCTTTTCCATCGTTAGGTATTTCTCCGCGTTAAATATTGAATATCTATTTTCCGAGTAGTGTTGTGTTCAGCTTTGTGGATTGTGTGGTTATGGTTCAATGCCACTACAAGGTCAAGTTGATAAGAGGATACATCTCAATGCAGTTACGCATGATCCATGCAACTCAGCCAAGGTTGTAAGTTGCGATTCTTGCTTAGGTGATCACAAGGTGGTGTAGAACTAGGATCTAATATGACATTAGTACTGCTCGAATAATAGACCTAATTTCAGATTGCAGATTTGTCATGATGTAGCTGCCCAATCTATAAGATCTTACGTGGAAGTCACATCATTGTCTACACTGACTCACCGTACCGTAACAATTACAAAAAAAATGGAGAACACATTCAGGCTGGAGATAGAACAATGTATTTAATATGAATAAAAGTAAGTTGTACAGAACGATCACGCTTGAGAGGCTGAGCATTACCGTCCGATCAATTCGAATCAATTGAATTAATTGTCCTTGCTTTCTCCGTCGTTGAGTTTTTCTTCGCGTTAATTGTTGAACATCTATTTTCCAAAGTGCCCTGTGTCCGGTTTGAGGATTGTGTGGTTAGGTTGTAACAGCTCAGGTTGGTTGGTTGAGAGTTGACCCCAAACAACCAAGCTTATGCCAAAATAGTATTGTTCAAGTATTCATTCACTTCCTTATTTTTTATAAGCGTTATATTCCCTATTATCTCGAATGTTGAGAGCCTTTGTTTGTCTGAACAGATAATCCCTAAACCGTCAAACCGTACCAGATAGGTACCCAATACCTCATATCCAAGATTTCACCAACGGTTTACAGGGTATGAACATATTCACTAAAATTGACTTAGTCAGGGCATATCACAATATCCCGGTGGCTGATGAAGATATTCCCAAGACAGCTATTACTACACCCTTTGGCTTATTCGAGTTTGTACGCATGCCATTCGGCCTGAGAAATGCGGCACAGACATTTCAAAGATTCATAGATAACCTACTTCGAGATATGCCATTTGCGCAGGGGTATATAGACGACTTGTTAATTGCCAGCCCCGATTTGCAATCACACGAACAGCATGTACAAGCAGTGTTGAAAAGACTGGATGAACATGGAATAAACATACATCAAAGTAAGTGTGTTTTCGGTGTTCAAACTTTAGAATTTCTCGGTCACACAATAAGCCCAGAAGGGATTAAACCTATCAAAAAAGAAGTGGATACCATCAAACAATACCCCGTACCTAGTTCTCTAACACAACTGAGAAGTTTTCTAGGCCTAATTAACTTTTATCGCAGATTCATACCAGGTTGTGCACAATTAATGCAACCTTTGACAGATTCACTTAAAGGAAAACCAAAAGAATTCAAACTGTCTTCTGACGCCATCGAAGCTATTAAACAGCTTAAAGATAAACTGGCTCAAGCAACTACGTTGATATATCCGAATTCTCTTTCCCCACTTGCTTTGATGGTGGATGCTTCAGATAAAGCAGTAGGCGGTACCCTTAACCAACTGGTTAAAAACGCCTGGAAACCAATTGCTTTCTTCTCGAAAAGACTCGCTCCAGCCGAAACAAGGTATTCTACCTTCGGGCGAGAACTTCTTGCAATCTACCTGACCATTAAACACTTCCGACACATGTTAGAAGGTAGGGAATTTATAGTCTTTACGGATCACAAACCACTGACGAATGCATTAAAAGCGAGAGCCGATAAATACTCACCTCGAGAAGTCCGACACCTTGACTATATATCACAGTTCACAAGCGATATCCGACATGTCAAAGGTCAGGACAATCAGGCGGCAGATGCTTTATCCAGACTAGAAATGAACGTGCTACAGCAGTCTACAGTAAACTTCGAGACGTTAAGACACGAACAAGAGCAGGACCTAGAATTACAAAACCTACTTAAAACAAACAATTCAAGTCTTAATTTAAAACAATTCCCATCACCTATCGATGGTATTCTAATTTATTGTGACACGACCAAGGCAATGCCGCGACCTTTCGTTCCCAAAAATATGCGAAAGTTGATATATAATAACTTTCATTCTTTGTCTCATCCTGGCGCGAAAGCTTCAACAAAACTAATCAATGCCAGATATATATGGCCGAATTTACAGAAGGATGTACACAAATGGGTTAGAGAGTGTTCAGCATGTCAACAATCAAAGATTAATCGTCACACAAATTCACCCATAGGTGTTTTCTCGCAACCAGATGCACGTTTTGCCCATGTGCATATCGACTTGGTAGGTCCTTTACCTCGTTCAAACGGTTTTAATTATCTTTTTACATGCATAGATCGATTTACCAGATTCCCTATAGCCATCCCGATAGCGGACATCACAGCGGAAACAGTAGCCAAAGTTTTCATGCAGAACTGGGTAACCATTTTTGGTACACCCATAACAATAACGACGGATAGAGGAGCGCAATTCGAATCCGAACTATTTAATAACTTGGCTAAACTTCTAGGCTCCAATAGGATACGCTGCACTGCATATCATCCTCAGGCTAATGGGATGGTAGAACGTTTTCACCGTCAGCTAAAAACCGCCCTTATATCTCACTCAAACCCCAATCAGTGGACAGAATTCCTACCATTAGTTATGTTGGGAATACGAACATCTGTCAAAACTGACGCACAGTGTTCAGCTGCGGAACTGGTTTTCGGAACAACTCTGAGACTACCAGGTGAATTTATTAACCCCAATACTAACAGTCAAAAACTTAATTTAGGAAACTACGTAGATCAACTACGGGACCATATGTCCAAACTTAAGCCAATTAATACTCGCGAACAATCGCGCGCCGTATATGTACCTAAAGACCTAAGCAATTGCACGCACGTCTGGATAAGATGTGACAAAATAAAAGCACCACTTAGCCCTCCATTTGAAGGTCCTTTCAAAGTCGTCTCAAGAAAATCTAAATATTTCGTGATAGAAAAACATGGAAACATCGACACAGTAAGTATTGATAGGCTAAAGCCGGCTTATCTAGATCATGAACCACCATACGTGTTGTTAGATCGTTTAACTGACAAATCCATTACGGAATCGAAATGTAAAAACGATAAATCTTTACAAATGACTAAAACGGTTCGCTGGGCACATCCGATTAGCCAATCAAGGATGTTGACAGTTTCGGCTGCAGGATAAAATCTAACCACGTAGCTAATCAGACCCTGCATCTACTTAAAAATAACTTCTCCTCATTCCGCCTCACCTACAACTCCCCAGACCTTTTGCCTTTGATATATAAGTGTTATGTTAAATATTTTTTTTTAAATACTGGACACATAAGCTAGGTATTCCGAAACGATGGCTGAGGATTTTAATCAAACTCATACAACTAACACTGGCAAATACAACGAATTCAAAAAGCAACCCAGGCGAGTTTTATAATTTCTTTTTCTGGTTAATTAACTATGTTGGCTGTACTTCTTATATATCTATATACATTTTTCACGTAGACTGGCTATACATATATACCATATGAACTACTTCTAAAAGTTTTCGGTCGAAGATGTGTTTAGTAGCTTGATACGCTTAATACTACTATTAATAAGTAGTTTTCTAGACAAAACATTTTGGATTAAACCATGGTCAAGTACTTATTAAAGTTCTCATCATTTTTTTTCATGTTTAGGAAACTTACATAATGACTTAACCAGTTTTCCTACAGCATGCTTTTTAGTGTGATCATATAACCCATCATTATTGGCAATATTCAAATTTTTTTTAATTTCTGACATTTAAGAATCAATAACCGTGAAGATATAGTACAGTGCGTTACTGTAAGGTTACTATGTTAGCCGCATTGATTCCACATACCTAATTTTAAACACAACTTATAAGGGAACTGTTAAGTAATCACAACATTGAACTAATATGAATATCACAGCTATGCTAACGTTAAACCAATTATTATTAGTGGTCCATACAAAATCCTGGAACTTAACACTAGCGTTATAAAAAAACATGTTATGTCAATAACTTATATATATATACCTTTTTTTCTCGTTGGTTTAATTATAACGTAAAATGGAAATCTACCACACTTGTAGTTTTTTTTCTATAGCATTATTATTAATAAAAACAAAGAACTTGTACTATTCCAATATGGCACTTTGACATATCAATCCGTCCTCCTGTTATCTTTCTCTCATATCTGAGCAACATATGGCCAACAAACATCGTATTGAAGGGGGTTTTGGTGAACGAAAACGCTAGCCCCACACGCACTCGAACCTCTGCCCTCCTGGATGCTAGACCGTGTGCCTAGCCATTAGACCACATCAAACCACGGGCGAATGACTGCAATCTTTCCTTTTACCGATTAATCATATATAATACTAATGAGTAATAGGACTTACACATTTCTAAGGTGCAGACAAATTCGTTACTTGGATGAATTGACGAAATATTGTTTCAATATATCATGCATACTTAGATCAAACCAGAAAAGAGTATTTGACACAATTGTACTTAATCCTCATAATCTACACAATTTTTTTCTCCTCCTTAACCGTATATTCTTTTCCGTTTTGTGGAGTACAACTATGCACCCTTGGTTACGTACCTGGTTATAAAAGGCGGTCGTCATAGGCCCAAGGTCATACATTTGATCGGGTTTGACAATGAGTCCAACTTCTAGCAAGTTTACACTTTTACATATATGCATTATGAAAAAGTTTTTTTTTGTTTTCATACCTTTTCGTACATAAGATGGCTACACTATGTCTATTTTCTTCCAGAATACCAATCCTTTCTGGAGGCCAATCACTTACGTGGAACCGAACAATTATAAATTATATTTTTGTATTTCCATTTTGTATCTTATTATTTTTATGCAGGCAGTGGAGCAGTTCTTCAGGTGTGATTGGTTTTCACCATTACCTTTGAAGTAGATTCTTCTTTACTTTTTACTTGAGGGCGACTAAAGAGGCAGGTGAGTAAACACCTGATAGCCGGTCTGAGCATGGAAAAATCGTACCTCACCAACATGGTGTTGGGTAGCCCGCTCGCGGCACTTCCTCAGATATTCTTATTCCACATTCTCACACTCTTTCTCTTGAAAGCACGCAGTAAACCGTCAGCGATAGTTGTAGAATAGATCACATGCTACAAAATAAGATGACAAACTAGTAAATGAGGAGACATCCATGGACTATCGTTGACAGCGTTAGTCGTCACTGATTGTAAGTCAAATAGTGAGCGAGTTGATAATTTTCCCTCGGGATGAGAAATAGAACTAAGGTGTTTTCGATAGATAGGTTAATCGAACCGACGTTCCTACGAAAGTCGATTCTAGGGGGAAGCTAATGTAACAGCTCAGGTTGGTTGGTTAAGAGTTGACCCCAAACAACCAAGCTTATGCCAAAACAGTATTGTTCAAGTATTCATTCACTTCCTTATTTTTCATAAGCGTTATATTCCCTATTATCTTGAATGTTGAGAGCCTTTGTTTGTCTGAACAGATAATCCCACGCTCCACTGTGACTGCGCGAAGATCGAAATAAAGACCTATTCACTACTTGTCTGGTTTCTTCTATCAATAGCACGAGGGTTACCTTAAGGCACGAAAAGGTTACGATGCCACTACACCAGCGGCTCAGTAGGTTAAGCATTCGCTCGCGAGACTGAAGGCCCTGGGTTCGAACCCCGCGGGTGGGATAGTGAATGAGAACTTCTGAAGAGTCCCAAAACAGGACGAAACGGCCATCCACTGCTTCCAGGTTTGACTGATTGGTCGGTCGACGCGGATGGATCGATCGAAGATGAATGGAATAAGTTTGAGGCTACAGTCAAGTCGTAACGTCACCGTTTATCCCATGGTCAGCACGTAAGCCATCAGATTGCCCTACATGGATTAATAAAGAAATTCGGAGGCTGTTAAAGCGTAGGAAACATTTCTTGTTGACAGGTCATGCATCATTTAAGCGTGAATACCAAAAATTCCGTAATATCTTTAAGAAAACCATAGCGAAATCTCGTACTCCTTACGAACGACAGTTAGTATATGATAGCCGTACTTGTCCGAAACGATTGTTTTCGCATGTTAAACGGCAAATGAAACGTAGTGATGGTATTACTCCGTTACTGTTACACGAAAATTCAGAATTACTAGCTGAATCAGATCGAGCAAAAGCTAAGACTTTTTCAAACTATTTTAGTGAAGTCTGCTCTACGTTTACTGTAACAAATACTTGTCCCACTCACACCGAGATACCAACCATTGAATCTGTACAGGTGACTGAGGAAACTGTCCTTCCGTTGATAACTAACCTCAAACCTGGTAAGATACCGGGCCCTGACGGGTTACATCCATGGTTGCTATCATCTCTTGCGGACATTATTTCAAAACTGCTTGCGACACTTCAACATGTCCCTTTCACTCGCTCAACTCCCTAGAGACTGGAAGGACACTATAGTCAGTCCTATATTTAAGGATGGTCAGAGACAGATAGTATCTAACTACCGGCCTGTCAGGCTAACTAGCATAGTCGTTAAGTTACTTGAAAAGGTAATTCGGGTTAGGTTGCTAAGCCACATAGATTCACACAATCTGTTAGCTCCCGAGCAACATGGATTTCGTAACAAGCGTTCATGCTTGACTAACTTACTTATTGCGAGAGAGGATTGAATAGCAGCCTCAGATAAAGGCCTGTCTGTCGATGTGATATTCATAGACTTTAGCAAAGCATTTGATAAGGTTTCACACGTAGGTCTTTGCAGAAGCTCACGAGCTTCGGAATAATAGGCACTGTACATGAGTGGATAGGAAACTTCTTATGTGGCCGCAAACAGAGAGTCAGGGCCAACGGAACGCCATCCGACTGGGAGCCGGTCAAAAGTGGTGTACCCCAAGGCACCATCTTAGGCCCTCTGCTCTTCCTTCTCTACGTTAATGAGTTACCGTTGTTGCTTAGGTCGTCGACATTATTGTTTGCAGATGATGTAAAAATCCGGAGAACAATAAAAAGTGGGGTTGATTATCTGGATCTTCAAGCTGACTTGGACGGTTTAGTTAGATGGGCTCGAGGTTAGAGGTTAGAAATCAATGATAGGAAGAGTGTGCTAATGCACATCGGTCACGGTAATAGTTACCATTATACTACTGATGGTAAACCTCTTCCATGAGTTCAAGAGAATAAAGATTTAGGAGTAGCAATCGGTCATGACTTAAAAACAACTACGCATCGCAGAGCAGACGCTGTCTAAGGTTTTCGTGCGTTATGGTCACTTCGCCGAGCGTTCAAGTCTTTTGACGAGGAAATGTTTCGAACTTTATATCCCACCTATGTAAGACCACACTTAGAGTACTGTATCCTAGCAGCTAGCCCATGTCTGGTAAAGGATACTAACTCCCTTGAGCGTGTCTAGCATGTGGGAACAAAATTAGCGAAGAATCTTTCTAAACTCCCTTACGATGAGCGTTTAAAACGCCTAAATCTTTTCCCTTGTCGTATCGTAGAACACGAGGTGACATTATACAGGCATTTTGTATCTTTAATTGTGATTTGGGTGTTAATATGTCTTATCTTTTTGCTCCCTCCAGCACTAATAATCTCCGAGCTCAAAGCAAGAAGGTTCATAAACCACGATCTAATAAACTTAAAGTGGGGTCCCGTTTTTCTCATCGAGTAGTCAATCATTGGAATGCCTTACTCGAACAAGTGGTATCAGCCCCATCAGTGAATATTTTCAAGGAGAAACTGGGGCTTCACTGAAAGGCAATCTGTCAGGATTAACACAGGTTCACCAACCTACTATCCTTATTACTGAAGACTGAAAATGTCGATTTTTCAGATATGAAATGAGTCATTAAATTATATTATCATTTTGTGCTTCCTTCAAGTGTATAAAGAAAATAATGACCACCCTACTTCTATGTAATCCCTTACCCAGACAGAAGTCCACGTGATAATCCTCGTCCTTGAGGGAGTAGCTATTGGACTGAGGGTCAAATTCAATTATGTCCGAAACATAAGGTAACGTGCTCTTCTTCTTCTAGTAGCCATATTCTGTATCAAAATAAAGCGCTTTATATTGCTAGTGGATTACTAGCTGTTTCTTCAGGTTATTCAAGGATGTTTCACCACTTAAATGACACTTCGCTGTTGATTCCATTCTTCACGATGGCAATGAAAAATCAAATGTAGTCTGATATCTATTGGAAATAGCCAAGTTTCTGCTGTCGATATTATTGAGATTTTGGTTTTGAAGCTGTTGGTTCCGCGTATTCGGGCTTACTGATTGACAATGTATTTGTAATGGTTGCTTCTAAGTTTAGTATATTGTTCTAAGTAGTGTTTGATTTCTCGGCTCTCCCCACATTTAAAAAGAAACTCTTTCAAATATTTGGCCAGCTTTTGAAAAGCAAACTTATATTGGCTTCCACTGCGTGATAATCTAGTCCATACCAGGCTGATAGTATCAAGATTCATACGACGGTTCTGTAATGTGTGTTTCTGTTTGACTGTCATTGTTTATGTGTACTCACTATTTCATTGTCGATATGTTCACCATCGTTTTTGTCTGACTTACTTATCCTTCGATCTGTAAAGAAATGATGACTTCTCGGTTTAATGTTCACCAAGTACTTGTGCTCATTATTGGATAAACATTTATGCAGTTTGCTGATTCATAAAAATGAACTATTAGCTTCATAGTATTGATATGTCTTGCATAGATTCTTGAGGCATATTTTCACTGGGTGAAACAAATATTCATTTGGAAATTTACTTATAAACTACTGGTATTTACTTATTTAAACACATTGGTGCAGGGATGCAATAAATAGATATGCGCCACATAAATCATTCGATTTGTGCGAGGGATGGGATGCTGCCCGGGTACCCAAGTACCAAAGTAGATGGTTTTCTTAGAGGGTCACGCTCCGAGCCTTTGACCTACAGGTCTAATCCACAAGGCAGTAGAACAACGTAAGGAGTCGCAGTCCCATGGTAACCGGTGACCAACAATTGGTTCATACGCCATTTGTTTCTTTAGGATCCTGGAGCCCATGTTCACCATTGGTTTGGAATGGGTTTTCCAACTCCCCTAGGTGTGTCTTCCGTATCCATCGACCCGGTTAAATCCCTGGACAGTTTCAGTTTGGAAAGGACATGTTTGATGGCCTGTGTTAGTCTTGGCAATAGTGGTCTCTCAGTTGATCCAACTTTCTTTTAAAAGTGTGGACGGATGGAGCCTCAACCACGTGCTGAGGTAATGAATTCCACTCGTTGATGATTCGATGGGAAAGTCGATAGTCAGCTGACAAGTAATTTGTTCTGGGCTTGTGAACATTTTGGAGTGTCCTTGTAAATTTTCTGTTTTGGAAGACAAGAAAAATGAGGGCATATCATGTGCAAATTTGGTACTAAGCAATTTGAAAACTGTAATCAAGTCGCCTCTAGTTCTACGATATGACAACGGGAATAGGTTTACCTTGGTCAGTCGAGCCCCCAAATGCCCTGGTATGGCTGAGAGCGGAGTGGGTTCTCCCTCCCTCTCGAAATACTCTCGTACGGCCACGCGTATACAGCCTCTGCCAGGGAAGTCCTACTCACTGCCTTCTCGTGGCGGGGTGTTCTTT